CAGCGCTACTCTGGCGGGCTGGGGGCTTCGTCCGAGAGTTCCTCCCCCGGCAGACTGTAACCGCCAGAGTTACGGACCGAGCCTCGCTCCTCCGCGGACCTGGGGCCCCGCAAACGCCCCCATAGACCAGAGCCCCAGCAACACCTCGGAGCCCTGCCGATACCCCCAGGGACTTCAACCCTGCATCCCCCAGAGCCTGGAAACAGCCCCATGGACTCGAATCCCGCCACTACCCCAGAGCGCTGCTGACACCCCCATGGACCCACAGCCTGCAGAGCCCCTTAAAAACTCCTAGGGACCCGCACCCTGCATCCTCCGCACCCCGAGTACTGCAAACACCCTCCATGGACTTGAGCCGCACACCCCCTCCAGAACCCTGCAAACACCGGGCCACATAAACCCATATCTAGGGTGACCCGATTTCCCAAAGGGAAAACGGGACACCACATGAGGCTAGCCCTCCTCCCCCCACCCAGCATGGGCCCAGCCCAAGTGCGCCTCCGCCCGTGAGGCTGTCCCAAGCTGTTTGCCTGAGCCCCCACTGCGTGGGTCTGGCATTGCTGCTCACCCAAGCCCTGCCTGGTCCCCACCCAAGCCATGACTCCCTCCCTGCATGGAGCTGGTATCACAGGTGGTCCCCCAGCACATTCCTCCACACCCCACTTTTTTGACAAAAATGGGCATTTGTCGTGTTTGCTCTTGCCGACTGATCAAGTTGGCAAGAGCAAATGGGACAAATACCCACTTTTGCTGAAAAAGTAGGGATGGCTAGGACAGGGCTTAAAAAAAGGGACTGTCCTAGGCAAAACAGGACATTTGGTTGCCCTATCCACATCCTACAGAGCCCTGCAAACATACACAGTCCCAAATCCCATCTCTCTCCTGAGCTCTGCATACACCCCCATTGGTCTATACCCCACAGAGCCCTGAAAATGCCCCCTATAGCTCTGTAACCCTGCATACCCCTCCAGAGCCCCACACATAGTCTATGGACCCATGCCACACATTCTCCCTTGTACCGTGCATACACCCTCAGCTGCCTATATTTCCTATGCAACCCTGTACATAGACCTATAATTTCCATAGAACCATGCAGAAATTTCATAGACCTATATGACATATACCCCCCCAAAGCTCTGCTTACATTCCTGTAGATACCCATACCTAGATATGATTTTGTCATATAACTCTGCATATACACCTCTACCTGATATAACACAAATTCGGATATAACGCGGTAAAGCAGTGCTCCAGGGGGATGGGGCTGCGCACTCTGGTGGATCAAAGCAAGTTCGATATAACGCGGTTTCACCTATAATGCGGTAAGATTTTTTGGCTCCCGGGGACAGCATTATAGAAGTGTACCTCCCATAAATCTAACACTCAAATATGCTGTATAGAGAATGCGTACTCATTACATAATCCCCTGCATGTGCACTCCATAGACCTTAACTTCCTCATATGTTTCATATACCAATAGTCCCCTCTCTATGCCTCCATAGAACTATAATTCTCCACCTGACCTTATAGTTTCACTCCTCCGCATATACCACTCCTAGACATAAAGCCCCACCTGAAGCATCCCCTTTCCATCTGATGACTCTTCTGTGGCCAATTAGATGGGAGTCCTGCTTTGTGAACCACAGAAGGTTCTTCAGGTGGAGAAGGGCAGAAAGCAGTACTGCTTCCCCCTCTGCCTCCACCTTATTTTCCCGAACTCCTGAAATGCTCCTTAACTTCTCCCACTTCCCAGATTATTAGGTTATTATTCATGAATAGGGATGAGGGTGCTGTGTGACGTGTAGATAAATCGACCTCCGCTGGAGGTAAGTATAGACGTGCCTTAACTCTCTCCTCTTCTGCTTTGAAACTTTTCCTCATGCTTGCTTGTTTTATTTCTGTTTAAGGATTTTTAACTTAGGCCTGTTATCTACCATTGGGATGCTTTTATTTCTAGTTTAATCTTAGACATCACTTCTGTGCATCTCACTGTACCTCTGCTCTCTGATCTTCTTTCCTAAATGTGCGTTATTTATACATTTCTGTTGTGCAATCAACTCCTGGCTGCACGATAACTTCAAATTCAGTGGTAGAAAGACTGAAGTCTTCTTGGGTAAAGTATTTTTTTCCTCCTCCCCTTCTTGTAATTCTAACTCTACTATCGTCCGTAATTCCAACCTTGATTTGTCCCCAGGTGCTGAAATTTTTCAGTTATCCATAGCTACATATTTTATTTTAATTCTTATTCTTCTTTGCTGGTAAGGTCACTACATCTGGAATATTAGAATTTGTTGTTGCTTACTTTCTTCTCTGCTGAAATCTTTAGCATGTGGCTTAATTAATTCTCAGAGGAGAAAGTGATTTAGAGTGTCTTACTATGGATGACCATGCTAGTTATTACATTATAATATTTTTCTTCTAAAATGTGCTCTTCCAACAATCTGCAAGCACATGTTCAAATGTTAAACTAATTAACAATATTAAACTAAATGATTGGTGCACTATATTAAAATAGATTGCAAATACTGTATTTTCACTATGCTTGCTACCTAGTGGAACATGCTTCTAATTGTGTGAACTTCCTGAATGCTTTGCTGAGGAAAATAAATTCCACATTTCTCATATTAAATATGGTTTCTTGTTTTATTGCTAATGTTACTTTTTAGCAAAGAAGACCATCATTATGGCTGAATGTAGATTTTGAAGTTTGGCACCAAGAGCAATATTGAATTGTTTGCCTGACATAGTATAATGTTAATCTTAAAGTTTGTTGTTTTACTATTTGGAGCTTTTATAATATGGAAACCATTCAGAGACCAATTATTCTGGCATTTGGAGAAATACGTTAAGTATGATGTGGTAATATGAAGTTTGGTGGTAATAAATTTGCACTAGCAAGTTACAGTAGAATCTCAGGTCTGGTCTATACTACCCGCCTGAATCGGCGGGTAGAAATCGACCTCTCGGGGATCAATTTATCGCGTCCCATCGGGACGCGACAATCGATCCCCGAATCGGCGCTCTAACTCCACCAGCGGAGGTGGTAGTAAGCGCCGCCGACAAAAAGCGGCAGAAGTCGATTTTGCCGCCGTCCTCACAACGGGGTAAGTCGGCTGCAATACGTCGAATTCAGCTACGCTATTCACGTAGCTGAATTTGCGTATCTTAAATCGACTCCCCGCTGTAGTGTAGATGTACCCTTAGAGATACGAACACCTCTGGAATGGAGGTTGTTCATAACTCTGAAATGTTCGTAACTGAACAAAACATTATGGTTATTCTTTCAAAAGTTTACAACTGAATATTGACTTAATACAGCTTTAGAACTTTACTATGCAGAAAAAAACAATGCTGCTTTTAACCGTCATAAGTTAAATGAAACATGCGCAGAAACAGTTTCCCTACCTTGCCAAATATTTTTTTTAAACTTTCCCTTTATTGTTTTAGTAGTTTACGTTTATCACAGTACTGTATAGTATTTACTTTTGGGGGGGGGGGGGCAAGGGATGTCTCTGCTGCCTGATTGTGTACTTCGGTTCCAGATGAGGTGTGTGGTTGACTGGTCAATTCATAACTCCGATTTTTTGTAACTCTGAAGATCTACTGTATGTACAAAATCAAATAATTTTGTTACATGGGAATGTCACTTTTATCTGTGGAATCATTGCCAGCTTTTACTAAAAATACCCTTGACTAAAACTGGGTGGGGGGGAAGATACTCGAGGGGGCCCCCGTGGGGGCTGGGGGTGTGTGTGGCTCAGGGGGGTGCTGGGGAGGAGGACGTGGGTCCTTGAGGGGTGAGTCGTGGCCGAGGGGGGGGCGCTGCGGGTGCTGTGGAGGGGGGCACAGGTGCTGGAGGGAGAGGGGGGCGGTGTTGGTGGGGCCGGGGCAGGCTCCCTACCCAGCTCCTGGGAAGCAATGGCCCTAGCTCCCTAGTTCCATGTGGTGCCTCTGCTCCGCCCCCAGCCCTGGTTCTGCAGCTCATTGGCTGGGAGCTGCGGGGGCGGTGCCAGGCTGCCAGCAGAGGCAGCATCTGGAGCTGAGAGAAGGGAGCCCCCCCCCTCAGGTAAGCACTGGCCTGCACCCCAAGCCCTGAGCCTCCCACACCCAAACTCTTGCTGCTGGAGTGGGGGGGGGGAGGGGGGAAGGAGTAGGGGTTGACTGCCCAAACAGTCAACTGGCCCAGGGCCCCAGGGGCTGCCTGAGCTGCTCAGGTGGCTCCCAGGCCAGCTGCATGGGGCTGCTGCAGAAGTCACCGAAAGTCATGGAATCCGTAACTTCCGTGAGCTCTGTGACAAACACAGAGCCTTAGTCATAGAATGCCAGAATTCGGGGGGGGGGGGAAACATGAAGGAGAATCCAAGGTGTAAATCAAGACTAGAAATTGATTTTGGTAAATGTTTTCTCAGTAGACAGTGACTCAATGATTGAGTCGTTTAACAACGTACACTATGAGCAAGGGAACTTGGACTATCCGAGCAGGACCAACACAATTAATAGAAATTCATTTCGAATTAAATTGTATAAGTCACTAAATCACCTTAAATATTTTTGTAAAAAAAAAAAAAACCCTGTATCTCTGAAGAACTTGTAACTCTGAAAATCTTTATTCTTGTATCTTTCTTTAAGTATGAGGTGATATCTGAGACTGTATATCTTTCCTCAGTAGTAATCTGGGTTCTTCATTAAAGTTTCACACTGAAGATTTGATATGTTAAATTACAAATACAATTTCCTCTGTTAAAAAGATACTAGAGTAGTGTTTTCTGCATTATAACTATTTTTTTGAAACTTTGAATATTTTGTTTATTTAATAATTTAATAATATGTACATGTTTTCTAATTGTTAGTTTTTAAAGTGTTCTGTATTCAGAAAGCTAATTTTTGAAATCTTTTTTGAAATCTTGTCTTCATTTTCTGTTCTTTTCCCATTTTGTCTATCTGCTCTTCTTCATTTCTATCTTTCTCCCTATTTATTGTCCTCTGATTTTGCTCTATTTCAGAATATTTTTAATCACTCCTTGCATTTAAATTCACTTTTTTCCCCATCTTTCCCATCCCTTCCAATGTTTTTGCTTCCTCTTCTGTTGTATTTGTACCCTTCCTCCCTTCCTCCCTCCAGAGAACAGCTTTGTGGTTTAAGTGGGCACTGGCAGCAGAGTGAAACTGACTAAACTCAATTTCACTTTGCTGCAGGTGTCACTCTAGCAGATTGGTAAAGGACAACGATGCAGGCAACAAAGAGATGTGGAGGTGTGTGTTTGAAAAATGGAGTGATTGATATGTACCCTACACTGTTTTGGGTGTTCAGCAAAACGTGATTTATATGCATTGGTTCATATTTCCTGCATTCCTTGCACACCCAAGAATGTGAGATTTGGGCACAACAAAAATCAGGATTAAAGTTCTTAATTTGTTGTCAAGTGGGAATGAGAACTCTGTTTTTAGGTTTGTTTCCTTTTTTCATTCTAGGAATTTATGATAAAAGAATGTCATCAGGTTTCCAAATAAAACCAAAGACTGCAATACAGAAAAGCAAGACATCTTCGTCTCCTTCATCTAGTTCTCCAGATCTTGTGGTTAAGCCACAACCAAGGCCTAGTGATAAACTTAACCCCAAAACTATTGATCCGGTATGTAGAAATGGTATTTCTAAACAAATTACTTTTTCCTGGAAACAGCCAACCTTCTATACCAACATAAATGAGTAGGGCCAAACAGAGAGTGAGAGAGTCACAAAAAATATGGCATTCAATTGGGACAGCAGAAATCTTTGATCACAGAAGATCTATGGTTTTCTATGGTTTAGTTCTTCTTTTATATTGTCCTATATTTTCCAGAATGTAAACTTTTTCAAAAATAAGTTGCAAGCCCTTCCAATTGCAGAAACGACAGTGGATCTGTTTATGATATGAAGGTTACCATGTCTTGTTCACCCAGCCTGAAAAACTTAAACGATAGCACCAAGATGTGTTAGAAATTCCATTATTTTTTACTGGGGTATTGATTTTGAACATCACTACCAACACTGATTACTAGTTTGGTGCTGACCTATTGCAAATATCTACTAAATGTGATTGTCAAAACTTGCTCGACATAATTATCAATTTTGACACTGCATTCTTTCTGGTTATTATTCCTGAAGAAAGAGGTTGCCAATTTTGAACATACAAATACACCTCTACTCGATATAATGTGACCCGATATAACACAAATTCAGATATAACGCGGTAAAGCGTGCTTCGGGGGGGAGTGGGGGGCAGGGCTGCGCACTCTGGTGGATCAAAGCAAGTTCGATATAACGCGGTAAGATTTTTTGGCTCCCGAGGACAGCGTTATATCGAGGTAGAGGTGTAGTTGAAGTAATTGAATTTTAATACATCTAAAATTAAATGTGTACATCTAGACACCAAGAACGTAGGCCATACTTGCAGGATAGAGGACTCTATCCTGGGAATCAGTGACTCCAAGAAAGATTTGGGGGTCATGGTGGATAATCAACTGAACATGAACTCCCATAGCTGTGGCCAAAGTATGCAATCTTTGGATAGGAATCTCAAGTAGGAGTAGAGAGGTTATTTTGGCTCTGTATTAGGCATTGATGTGACCACTGCAGGAATACTTTATCAACCTTCTTACTGAATCATGGACAAATTGAAGAGGGCGCAGGAAGAGCCATAATAATGATTAATGGCTTAGAAAACATGTTTTACACTGATAGACTAAAGGAGCTCAATTTGTTCAGCTTAATCAAGAGAAGGTTAAGAGGTGACTTGATCACAGTCTATAAGTACCTTCATGGGGAACAAATATTTAATAATGGGCTCTTCAGTCTAGCAGAGAAAGGTATAACACAGTTCAATATCTGAAAGTTGAAGCTAGATAAATACAGACTGGAAATAAGTGGACATTAATAGTTAGATTAATTAACCATTGAAAAATTTGCCAAGATTCATGGTGAATTCTCCATCACTGGCATTTTTAAAATCAAGATTGGATTTTTTTTCTGAAAAATATGCTCTAGGAATTTGGGGAAGTTCTATTTTTCTTGAAGTTAGATTAGAGATTACTTTTTTGTTTTAAGGCAAAAAAAATGTAGTGCCAATATACTTAAGATTCTTGTCTTCACTGAATGTCAGCATTAGACTGACAGAATAAGTGGATAGGATACCTATGATTGTTTCTGTTAAAACCTTCAGCCTTGACTGTTTTGAGGTAACATGATCTAGAAAGAGTGGGCAAAGCTATTGTGAGTATCAGCATCATTTTCAAGACTATCTTCTTCCTTACTTGAGAATTGCTGTAGAAAGCACTTTTTTCCATAATAGGAATATGTTTTCTATGCTTGGAGACACTTAATCTGATTTGTGAGTTTAGATTCTTAACGTTTGTTATTAATCATTCACTCTCCAAGATCTGCAAGCCCTAATGCCTGAGGTAAACAGTATCTAATTCCTTATCCTTTTCACAAGGGTATTTGACAGCAACCTCTCCATTTCTAGGATTGGTATTTCTATATAGAAATACTTCAGTTTTCTCTTATGTTTTTTCCTTTTAAAAAATAAAAAACATACGTGCGCACACGCACACACGCAAAAGGCTAAAGGATTTTCAGTACAAGGTAGTTGTCACTTCTTTTAAGAGGAGATGGGTCTAGCCTCACCTGTGACTGATCAGCTGTCTCCCAGCTGAGGCAGACATCAGGTGATAGCTGGAAGATCTAGTACTCATAAAAGCCAGCAGATAGGTCAGTTGCTGGTGACAGTTGTCAGGAGTAGGAAGGAGCAGGAGTCCCTGGCTCAAGGGAGAGAGCCCAGTTCATGTGAAATTTCCAGGTAATAGTCCTGTAGAGTGTAATCCTGCAAGGAGCAGCCTATGAATTAGATGGGAGCAGAGAGGCTTGCTGTGACTTGGTCATGGAGTAGTTAGGCCCCTGCAGAAGACTCTGGGTTAGTGGAGAGGGAAGTATTCAATATACTGAACTTGTGGTATTTTGAAGCAATAAAGCCGAAACCCTGAGGAAAAAGGGATGGAAATCTTATGGCTGGAGACTGTTCTGTGGTGCATGCGCTGGTGAGTTAGCTTACCAGCTTACAGTAGGTACCACCATAGGCTGAATGGAAAGCCAGTGAGAGACTACAATGCTTCGTAATGCTTATGAAAGGTGCCAACTTGCCAGTACTAAAAATTGAAAGCTTCTGTCCAGAAGGAACAGTTTTATTAAAATAGCATCTCTTTTTGTGAAAAATATCATGGTTTCATCAAGTCACTGTTATCCAAGCCAACATACAGTGAAATTAAACACAAAATTATGTTAAAATTTAGTTAACATTGCAAAATCAATCACTCAAGAGGTAGGAAATGGCAGATTGCAACCTTAATCAGACTCCTCACGTGTGTGCTTTGATACAATCTTTAATTACATGATTGCATACTATTTTTTTCCACAAGACTCCTGGTTCATTCAGTGCACAGAATTCACAAGGTCATTGAGTGAGTAGGTATTTGATATTACTTTTTAGTCTTGTTGTTAAACATATGACACTAGACTTTCTCTGTTCCTCACTATTCAAAACCCTGCTCTGAAGTAAAAATTATTAACTCTCTCAGATACTTTTATGTGGTGCTCATCACTATAGTATCTAAGAGATTCACAAACAATAATTTATTTTCACAACACCCTGTGAGGTGAGATGGTATTATCCCCATTTTGCAGGTGATGAATTGAGGCACAAAGAAATTGAAGTAAAAAGTATCTACTAATTTTGGATGCCCAATCTGAGACACCTAGGGTTGGATTTTTCAGAGTACTTTAGCTTATGTAGCACTCTATATCAGTGGTTCTCAACCTTTCCAGACTACTGTACCCCTATCTGGAGTCTGATTTGTCTTGTGTACCCCCAAATTTCACCCTACTTTAATACTACTTGCTTACAAAATCAGACATAAAATACAAAAGTGTCACACCACATTATTACTGAAAAATTGTTTACTTTCTCATTTTTACCATATAATTATAAAATAAATCAATTGGAATATAAATATTGTACTTACATTTCTGTGTATAGCATATAGAGCAATATAAACAAGTCATTGTCTGTTTGAAATTTTAGTTTGTACTGACTTCACTAGTGCTTTTTATGTAGCCTGTTGTAAAACCAGGCAAATATCTAGATGAGTTGATGTACCCCATGGAAGATCTCTGAGTACCCCCAGGGAGAACCACTGCTCTATATGATCAAAACACAACTCCCATTAACTTTAGTTCCAGCTGTGAGTGTATAGCATTCCAGGGTGTCAGGTTGTGCACACACAATCAGTGAACACACTGTCAGTGAACATCTAGGAAAAGTTTTGGCTTAAGTGATCAGTTAGCATCCTCATATAGGAACTCTCAGGAAGAGGCAGGGATAGAATCCAGTTCTCCATGGTAGCATTCAACTGCCTTAACTATGAGACAATCTTTTATCTTCTTCCAATCTTCTGTATCCTTCACTACATTTCTGAAAAAATGAGGCAGGGGTCCTATCTCCAGCCTCCTTCATTGCACAACTCTGCTTCATCTCCACTGCAGGTCTGTCATGTGCACTGAATGAGGCAGGGGTCATGTGGGGAAAAATTGTATCATACATATATCCACAAGGAGGCCAAATTATGGTTGCACAGCAACCCCTCCTCAATGGCTCCAAGTCTCCTTGCCCAGCCAGTCCCAGTCTCCTCCCTGGCTCCTCATCCAATCCGTCTTCCCACCCCCACTGGCTCCCAGCCTTCTTGTCCCAATATCCTCCTCCTCCTCTCCTCCCCACCTGTCCAACTCATATCCTCTCTTCAGTCAAGTCAGGCTTTGTGATGTCTGTGTGCCATCTGGGGGAGCATGGAGAGCCCAGGAGCCATGCTCCCTCCCCACTTATGTGAGAGACCCCTCCGTCCCATGGGGCCATCATTGACTTTAGTGGGACTACTTGCATGAGAAAGTAGAAAAATGGGATGGGAAATGAAAAGTTCATCGAGGATGAGCATATTTATTAATTTTTCTTAACAAAACAGTAGTAACATACTGCTGTGAGGTTACTTTATTATTTAATTAAATGTTAGAATTCTTTTTCCGTCCAGTCTCTGCAGTATCCTTTACAATTGTTTTCTGATCACAAGATGGTTTGTCACATTTCTCTCTAAACTGCAATACTAAAGTACATTTATAATGGTTATAACTGAAATATTATGATAGTGAGTAAATAACGTATTTTACTTTTTTGTCCACCCAGTTTGGGGATCATTCAAAAGCTCCTTCTGCGTTTTCTGCCATTTACTCTAAAGGTGGTATACCTTGCAGGTAATGAATTTTTAAAAACAATTGAACTGAATGTATTCAGACAGTAGTCTTAGGTGCAGTTAAATAGATCAAGACTCATTTCTTCATTACCGTTAGTGTAGGATGAAAACTATACACTGACTTGTATGTTCTCTGGCTACTTGATTTTACTGCTCTCTGAAGGTGCCTCTGATATTTAATTCTTCTCAAAAGAAAGCAAAAACAAGGAGTCCGGTGGCACCTTAAAGACTAACAGATTTATTTGGGCCATAAGCTTTCGTGGGTAAAAACCCCACTTCTTCAGATGTAGAAGTGGGTTTTTTACCCACAAAAACTTATGCCCAAATAAATCTGTTAGTCTTTAAGGTGCCACCGGATTCCTCATAGTCTGTATCCACAAGAACAAACACGGCTACCCCTCTGATAAAAGGAAGCAATCACTCAACATTTGTTTAGTTATTTATTATCATACATAGGTGTAGAGGCTGCACCACTCCAAAAATGGTGAAGTACTTACAGAATTAATTTGAGTCTACTTTGTGAAAGCAGTTGATTTCTTCAGACAATGATGTTTTCTTCCTCATAGTGGCAGAACAGAATTTGGTGTCATTTTAGTGAGTAGGCAATTGTCAGAAAAGGTGCAGGGAATGGAACATTTCTTACATGATCAGTTTCTTTACTGCGAGCAGTATCTTCCACAACTCAGTTATGTTTGGGCTGCTCTCTTCCACTTTGCAGTTTCCAGAGGCAGTTTAGGTTGCAGCACTGCTCATGCTGGCCACGCCTCCTTTTCCTGCTTGCCTCCAGATAAGTCATTCCAAAACTTGTAGAAAGAAACTAGTAACAATAACCTCAGTGCCAACCCAATAACTATGTACTTCAATGCTCTTCTCACATCTAAGATGTGCAACAGCTTCTCAGTAGGATGCTGTGGTCTTGGACAGAATAAGGGAAGAATAATCTCCTGTGAAGCATGGAAAGGAGAGTTTGCTTTGGTGAGAAATGATTTTGGAGTTCTCAGCACCACCTTTGTCATTGTGGAACACACAGTAAGGTTCCTGCACAGATAATGCTGCCAACTCTGAGACTTATCTAGCAGATGCAATAGCGACCAGAAAACAGGTTTTGATAGAGTGCTAGAATGCTGATTACTGAAACCAAAAGTTCAGATCGGTGAATTGTTATGGCTTTTATCACCAGAGGTAGTCCCATTTTGGGAACATTGGTCTGACAACTAGTCCAACCAGTCTGACTGCTCTGAGAAACTTGGATACCTGGGAGTTGTCTGTCATGGATCCTGAGGATCCTGTGAATAGAATGCTATTAATGGCTGATACTTGGCATGCTATGATATTGAGTCAAAGACCTCTATCCATGCCCTGTTGGATGAAGTCCAAAATAGTTGGAATCCCTGGATCTCTTGGGTCTACCCTGTGCTTAGGGCACTAGATGCTGAAATTGGTCCAGATGGAGGAGTGAGCCTTTAATAGAGAGACTCTCCTAGATGAGAGCCAGGTCTTAATAATTTTGAGGACAGACCAAGGGTTGCTAATGCTTCTCTTGCAATAGGCAGGCTGTTAGTTGAAGCCAGTCTGTCTTGAAAAGGCCTGGAAAATATCTGGTCTTCGCAGTAGCTCTAATGATGGCTCCAGTTTCAGTTCTATAAGAATGGAAAACTATGGCACTATTATATTCGTTTGTTCTCTCTTTATCTTTTGGATCACTTTCCCCAGGAGTGGAAATATTTATGGCAGGCCTTGCAGTCATCTGTATGACAGGGCATCTGTTTCGATGGAGTTGGGGTGTACTTCACTGGTGAAATATTTGTCATTTTGCAATCTTGCGGTTTGCGACCCAATCAGCTGAATGGAGATTGGCTGCTGGTTCACAATCCATATTTGCAGGAAAGTCCATTCTTTTAGAGTTCTTGTCCTTAGGAATGGACTTAAATCTGCCCAGCCGGGCTCTGTTGTTCACCACAGTTACAACCAGGGAATTTGGGGCTGGATGGGAGAAAAAGCCCTTAGCTCCCTGCACTGGGAAAAAGTAGTGTTTCTCCAAATGCTTTGTGGTAGGTGGTATTGAAGCTGGTGTGCTCCAAAGAACCTTTGCAGGCTCTGAGTGCATCGTTAATAGGGAGGGCCACTCTCCTGTGGCAGATGGCTGCAGGATATTGAACAACTTATGGATATTTTAGGAACTCTACCTAAATGCCCAAGGAAGCCACCACGAGCTGCAAAAGGTCCTGGTATGTCTTGAAGTCCTCAGGCACTGAAGGAAAGAGAGAGCCAGGTACTGCCAAATCATCCAGGGACAAAGAAGAGGAGCCTGTTGTCAGAGGCTACCGGTGTGGTGCTTCTGCTTTCTCCTGTTGATATCACTCGGCTGCGTGCGTGTGTTCCCTCTGTGTGCTGCCCCAGCTCTGCAGATAGCTGACACAGCAAACCGGACGAGAACCCCCAATAACCACAGAGTCTAGTAAGGTACAAAGGCACCTCGGCCAAGTTTATTGCGACCCTGACACAATTTCAGTTCCCCATAGATTACTTAGTCTACCGGGCATACTGCTAGAAAGTGCCGCTCGGCAATGGACTCAGCTCAGTGGCGGGACTTTCCACTGCCCCCTCAGCCGGACAAAGACACCACCCCAGGGATACATTTTTTATACACAGGTACAAACAAGTTACATATCACTCCTGACGTATTGAGGTGCAACCCCTCTTCGTAGCAAGGTACACCCCCTTTACGTAATAAGGCGCCGCCTCGCACCTTGTACCTGTTGGTTCGATCAAAACAACTCTATCCATCATTTTACCCTTTTGCCCCTGTCATTGGGATGGGTCGGTCTGTTCCCTATTATCTGTGGAATGTTCTGGTTATAGTGTATCTTGGTACCATGTTTATACTGTAACTATGCTAAATGAATATGTATTTCTGCAACATCCGCCCTTTCCTTGCCAAGTTCTATGAGCAGGGCCTGCCTCTTGCTCACAGCTTAACTTTGCTTCATATTAGCGAAGTCTTGACCATTACTTTAGTTCAGGCCTCATACTGGGCCTTCATTAGGCCTTCACTTACTACAGAGCCAAGAAGAGCCAAGGCCAGATCCTTCCCCTTATGGACCCAGATGGGACGATTCCAGAGGCTCCACAATGGGAAGGCTCACTGGTGCATGAATCTGTGGTGGATTGGTGGTCCCCGCCACCGACCTGCCCGGTGATCTCACCTTAGAACAATCCTTGCGACCGAGGAGCATCCCACGGATTCCATGGAGGCCACAGGGCATAAGGATAGAGCATTGGTGGCCAACAGGTGCAGGGCCAACTGTGAGACAAGTGCCAATCCTGGTACTCCTGGTGCTTCATGAACAGCCCCCCTGTGAGCCAGGCAATGGAGAGCGGGAGGAAAAAGATCCCGACCTTGATGCTTAGGAGTCTCAGGTTTCTGGGGATAAAGGTGGAACCAGCCCTGAGGAGGTGAGCAACTAGTCCAACTCATCCATTGCCCAAAATGAGGGAGAGACTGGTGCCAACAGTGAAAACAGTATCACCGGCACCGAGTATGCCTCTATTGTGCCCAGTGCCAGGAGCAATGTTGAACCCGAAGTCAGCATTGGTATCGAAGTAGCTGATGGTGAGGAAGTGGAAGGTGGTGAGACCACCACGGTAAAATGGGCAGCACAGGATGCAATGGTGCCGAGGAGGTCCCTTGCCCCGAGCCCAGCACCGACCCCACTTCCACAGACTGTGGAAGGGAAACATTGGAGTGTGGTGCCAACACAAAGGTTCAGCAGTCTGCCCAGCCAATGGGGCTATAAACGATGTAGCCCAGGTAAAGTCTTGGACCAAGGGAGAGGTCGGAATGGAAAGGCAAAGGTGGTCCTTTGCTTACTGATATGCTGCCAATGTGGAAACAGTCCGTACTGGCATTACCCTCATCGGTGCCGGACTCAACAGATAGGCTGGGGCCAGAACTGGTGTGGAGTGGTTAGAGGCACCATCCTGCATGCCAGTGCATGCTCTTTCTGTAGGAGGCAGAAGAGTCTCCACAAGACCTGAAGTGGTCTCAGTTGGTCTTATGTGACCTTTTCCTCTGTGCACTCGATGAAGAATGGCTCCTCCACCTCTTGAGAGAGGCCCTGGCTCCAGAGCACAAAACGGCAGCACTTTGAGAACCTAAGGATGACCTCTGATCCAACGTAGGCCATATAGCCTGTTTGAGCAGATGCCGATACAGGCATAGATATACTGGCACATGAAGAGAAGGGAGTTACCTATAGCGTTCTACCCAAATAGGGCTGTGCATTTCACTGGGAAGGCAGTGCATATTAGAAGTGTGTATATTTACCTTTACAGTGATTTTTGCAAAACAATTGCGGATCTTTTGGTATGAATAGAATGTTAAAGAAATTTACTGTTATATGCTGTTTATTTCTCTGTCCCATTTACTAACTTTTGTTCTACCTGATAGGTTGGTTCATGGCTCAGTAAAACACAAATTACAGTGGGAATGTCTTCCTGAAACTCTTCCATTTGATCCTCTTCTTATTACTTTAGCTGAGGTAAACTTGCTTTTCTTGAATAATAGAATAATACAATGCTTTTTTGCCATGCAAAGCTCAAAAAATGAAATTGGCATGCATTATTCAAAGAGGTGGGTAATTGAATGTTGATAACTACTATAACTAAAACAGCTGTTTACTTATTACTTCACATGTCAAGTGCCAACTCACTGTGATATCTAGATACTGTTGTGATTGGTGGTTTTCTAGAGACCCAAATTAAAATTTTACACAACTTACAAGAATAAATAATATTCAGATGTTGAATATTTAGAGGCAAATCCAGTTCCCAGTGTCCAGACCAGCTATTTCAGTTCACAGGAAGGAACATGGGGAGGAACAGAGGACCTGCATAGAAGCAGATACTTTGTACTCCTCCAAACACCTCCAAGGAACTTAAACACTTATTTTACCCCTCTTAGTTTTATTCCCAACTGTTATACCTCATCTTTACCTCAGTGTGGAATCCAAAAAGTTATGTTCCTTAGGGGTTGTAGCTAGTGGATCTTTCTGGATTACTGGATGAGCTTTGTCTGGTGGACACTCACTAGTCTCCTTAATCTGGATCCAACCATTGGATCCCAGGTGCTCTTAGGCTGGCTGAGAATTGAAAAAAGTCTGGGTGTTGTCTTTAGGCTTCTATGCACTCTCAAGATGTACTTCCTCTCTCTGGTATTCCTTCCTGAGAGAGCATTCTACAGTTCTATTGGCTAGGCTCTGAATCTAGGACCAGCTCTTCCAAGCCTCCCTGTAGCGGGGTGGTTACCCCGCTCCTGCCTGGAAGGGTTTAAAACAGCCCTGGCAGAGGGCTGGGGCAAAGGGAAAAGCTACTGGGCTGATTGGGGAAGTAGCCACAGCTGGGCCATGTCCCAATCAAGCCACAGCTGGCCTGTATAAGAAGGCTGGGAGCCAGGCACTCAGCAGTCTCTCTCTGCCTTCAGAGACAGAAGGGCCTGGCTGCAGGGAGCTAGACAGGGTACCTGTAGTGGAGCAGGGCTGGGGAAAGGCTGAGGGGCTGGGGAGCTCCAGCCTGGATAGCCCCAGGCTGCGGCCTGGTAGTAGGCCAAGGGGTACTGGGGGTTGCAGAGGGCAGCCCAGGGCTAGGCCAAGGCAGCAGGTCCAAACCCAACCTTACCTGTGATGAGTGCCTATACTGCAGTCTGCTCCAGGGAGCAGGGGCTAGTTGATGACTGGCAGTGGCTTTATTCTGAGGCAGGGTGGGGATAGTGGCTGGAAGGGGAGACCCAGCGTGTGTGGGTATTGCCAGGGGGCAGCACCCAGAGCAAGGGGCACTGGGGTCCTGGGAGGGACACGGGGGCCAGTGCAGAGGACAGGTGGATCACCGGCCTGCAGAGGGCGCTCCAGAGGGTGGAGAGCTAATTCCCTGGACAACCAGCAGGAGGTGCTGCAGGCGTGAGTCCAGCCCTCTTACACTTCCCCCATAGCTCTTGCATGCTTCTAGAGTTGTACTGAAGTTGTGGATCCACTGGATTACTGTTCCCCTCTTCAGGGAATAGAGAACAGTGAAAGCAAGAGGCACACAAACTTTGCAACAGAATTGCTAAATCAGTTGTACTTTACTCACAAACAAAGCACATGAGATATACCTCTATAGAAAATAACAAAAACCTTTATGCAAAACTCACCTTCCAGTGCCCTCACTACTCCAGGAGTCCTTTGGTCAGTCCTTTCAGGGTCCCAAGACTCTCCTTGCCACCTCCATTATTGTCTTCTCCTCCTCCCTCCTTCCCCACTCCCAAAAGTTAGTGAGGGCCTTCCCATTATAAGGTTGCAGTCCCCCCATTCAAGTGACTTTCCTCAGTGGCTTTGAGTTCCTCATCAGGTGATCTCATGGTTACATACTCACCTAGGAGAACTAGTTCCACTGGGTAGCAGCTAGCTTATTGTTTTAGGATGTTTCCATTTGAATGGGAGACCATCCAGATTAATGACTCTTGATTTCTCTGCATTATTAGCCCTTTGCTAACACTTCTGGGATCCTTATTTTGAGGTGGAGTTTTGATATAGAGATGTACAGACATACACTAATCCTTCACACCTTCCCCAGCAAAGGTCTAAGGGATAGATATTAGTGGCATCAGCAGATGCCTTTTTCTCTCTATCCTTGGGCTTTGGATCAACTTGTCCTTCTCTTTACCTTCCTCCCAGCTCTCTCCTTTTGCATACTCTCTGCTACACTAACTCGGAAAGGCAGAGGGGAAGGAAGATGAAGCACCTAATGGCTGCTGATTTGCAATTGCAACCAAAAATGATAGTGACTAGAGGGAAAACTTCAAGTAAAACCACCTTCCTAATCCAATATGAAAGGAGAAGTGAAGAGGAAAAGCTGTTCATTCTTTCTTCCCTTCTGCCCTTTGCAAACATCACATGAGTAGGATTCAGTCAGAGGGTGAGTCGGGAACAGAAAGGACTGTTACAGTACAGCGTTTTTCTTGCCTATAGAGAGTTGTAGCTTTCCTTCCCATCACACAAAAAATAAGCATGTTAGCTAAATGTTTCTGTGAAAAAAGAACAGTAGTTAATAATAGTGGTGTTCAATTGTCTTTATGCTTCAGAGGCAACTTCCCCCTTGAATCCATTTGCCTTTGTTTTATCTGTATACAAACTTGGGAAGACAGGGATTTACTAGTTCTTATTTGGAAGATTTTCCTCACAATTATAAGGGCTAGAAATCTTAAATTGTGTACAATCTTAATCTATCATGGGAGTTAAATTAATACATAAAATAGGCCAGATGTGGCCTATATGCTGGGAGTTTGAGTATGATTTAGAGATTAGATTCTGTATTTTATGCATTGTACATCAACTAACAATAATGCTGTTCTGTAATCTGTTTAAAATCTCCTTTTGACCTTATATAGGCCCAATAAATACTTATCCTAATAATGCTTTCTGAAGAACTGGAACATTTCAGTATAGCTCGTTATGTAGGTTGTGATAATGTATTGCTCTATTTGAATAGTTTTGTGTCTTAATATTATTTTAAATTGTTCTTGGAGACATTTCTCCCAGGGAATGAGAACTCCCTAATGGATTTCCAGTAATATTTTAAGAGAATTAATATTTTGAAAGCTAGTAAGCTTTTAATAAACCCATAGAGATATTGTAAAATGTCATTGTCAAAAGATACTATATCCCTAGTGTTAAACAGACTTTCAACTGAGCGGTAATGTTCAACCAAAACAGTTATTTTTCAGTTATCTTATTACGATTAGTCACTGTCAGTTTCTATAGATACCTGTTAGCGGCAATATATTTGTTTTTGAGCCCTCAGTAAGATGTACATCTCAAATCGGAGCAAGGGGGTGGGTGGGAATTACCGCTCCCAAGAAGCTAATCTAACCAAGTTACACCCCACAGTGATAAACATACTATAAACAAAGATAATAATATTTGAAGATGGTTAATCAGTTTGAGCAGCTGAATATTTTTTTAAAAATAATCTTTCTCCACATTGTGGTGTGAAGAGGAAGGCCTTTGGCATATTGGCCAAAATAGCTCATCCAGAGCTGAGTTTGGATCTCAGAGCTCCAGCTCCTGTAGGGAATCCTTTGATTCTTTTGTGGTTTCAGAGATTCTCCTGTCAGTCACCAGTTTCCTGGGTGTAAATAAATTTAGGTCCAACCCAACTATGCAAAGAGAACCCTCTCTTCAGTGAGTTAATCTTACGCACTGGAAGTGGGGCCTTGTAAACCAAAATGAATCAGTCAGTAAGCAGCCAGGAAACCTAGTAGAAAATATGCTCAAATTTATCCTTACCCTCTGTTCTTTGTACTGGTCACTACAAATTACTTTGTGTCCAGTCTTATTTCCTGTTTTCCCAACATTTGGCAGGGAGTTTGCCTTAAAAAACATTCTAGAAATCTCAACAAACTTAAATTTAGGGCGTGTCCACATTTGAAATTCTACAGCAGCACAGCTCCAGCGCTTTAGTGTAGACACTACCTATGCCGACAGGAGGGGTTGTCCCATCAGTGTAGGTAATCCACCTCCCCAAGAGGCAGTAGCTAGGTCAACAGACGAATCAGGTCAATTTAACTACACTGTTCAGTGGTGTGTATTTTTCACACTCTTGAGTGATGAAGGTGGGTAGACCTAACTTTTTAGTGTAGATCAGGCTTTAGAGTCCTGTATCAGACATGCTAGGCTGAACCTGAGCTATGTTTGATATTTTTGTAAGAAAAAATAATCTCTTAGTATTTGAAGTGGCTGAGGGACCTTCTCTCCCAGAACAAATCAAAGAGTTCTGCCATATAGATTGTGAGTTCCTGTAACTCCTGTGATTCCGGATATCACGAGCCTGCACATTTGTACTGCTTTAAAGTGTCAGCCTTGTACCATGTTCTGTTTTCATTAAGGGTAGGGAAATCCCTTAGAGAGGTCATCCTATTTTCTGTTCATGGGGCTGTGGAGAAATTAGTTTGTGAAAATTGAATGAAAATAAAGAAGTACATCTGTTGATGAAAATGACCATATTAAAAGGGTAAACGTATTCTTTCACATATCAAGGAAAAAACCTGAATATTTAGTGAGCAGAGGTATACTCAATGAATCCACATGGTGGAGTAAGTGTGTTTTTATGTTTTTGAATGGCTGCAATAAAACATGAGCAATATATTGCTGCTAGAGGGAACCTTTTGATGTTTTACTGTAGTGTTGTGTTAAAAGTTGCATATTAACAAAAGATATTTTCCATATATATATAAAACAGGGTTTAAGAGAGACAAAACACCCATATACATTTGTATCCAAGGAGGGCTTTAAGGAATTACTCTTGGTTGAAGATGCTATTGAAAAAGCAATTCCCTTGTTGCCTCGTCTAGTTCCAGTGTTAAAGGCTGCTCTGGTATGTTTCTCTTATTTTTCATTTATTGTACTCTTGGAATTTTTTTTCTTACAAAGATGAAGTCTAAAGAAAAAAGTCAGTTTGATACAAGTGTTGCAGATGGGAAATTGTCGGAGTCCTGGGATGACAGTAGCAACCTGTGAGAAATGGGGCAGCTCCCAAATGCCTCTTTAGGCTCTGAGAGTATGTCTACACTGCAGTGTAAGCCTGTGCTTGAGCCTGGGCTCAAGGCTAACCCCCCCCCCTTGCATCTACACTGCAATTGTGTTAGCCCAGGGCTGGGACCCAGGGTCCCAGGATCTTGCAGAGCTGGAGGGTCCAAGCTCAAGTCAAGCAGGGTCCGAGCCTTATTACTTTGCAGAGTAGTCGCAACCCCACTTGACTCAGGTCGTGGGAGTTATCTGGAAGTATCCCACATCTTCCTTAGTCCTCTCTATCCCAAGAATCTGCACTCTGTTGAAAACAGAAGTCCCTTCCCTCCCTCCCCGTTGGAAAATGGAGGCAGCTTAGGTGAGCGTTAACCCATTCTATTCTGAGCACCAATCTGCAAGCACATTATCAGAGAGCCTCCTGGGTGGGCAATGGAGAGCGAACCGATCAAGCCTTTTGCAAAGCGGGGTGCTTCCTGGTAATGTGCAGGGTGGGCAGTAAAGTTTTCCCACAGTGTATCATGTTCCTAAGGCTAGAGTGACCACATTTTGGGGGAGGGGAAGGAGGAGTGCACTAGGGACTCTGAGATATAATTATTTTGATATGGCTCTGCACACTGCAGCGTGGACACCAGAGCACTAGGTTCGAGCACAGGTCAGAAAATTCTTAATCTAGGGTTAAAATATAATGTAGATGCTCAAGCCTAGGGTTCCCTAACACAGGCCAGCTAAGTTAACTGAATTCCCATTAACCTTGGTCTTACGTTGCAGTGTAGACATACTCAGAGTGTGGGAAATACAGAGGGACCTAGACAAATTAGAGGATTGGGCCAAAAGAAACCTGATGAGGTTCAACAAGGACAAGTGCAGAGTCCTGCATTTAGGACAGAAGAATCCCATGCACTGCTACAGACTAGGGACCGAATGGCTAGGAAGCAGTTCTGCAGAAAAGGACCTATGGGTTACAGTGGATGAGAAGCTGGATATGAGTCGACAATGTGCCCTTGTTGCCAAGAAGGCTAACGGCATTTTGGGCTGTATAAGTAGGGACATTGCCA